AATGAAAAAATGGATGGAAACCCCATTAATCGTAGAAGAGCTGTAAACTATGAAATAGAATTAACTACTGCAAACTTGTAGATTTAAGGTATAAAGGTTGCAAATTTACGTGGTCTAACCATAACAAGACTATTAGTAACCGTATTATGGAAAGACTAGTCAAATTGTTAGCAAATGAATCTTGGATAAATCTTTTTCCCAGAGCTTCAGTAATTCACTTACCAAAAACTCATTCCGATCATAACCCTATCCTATTAGAGCTAATCCCTAAGAATAATAATTCCCTACCCAAACCCTTTAGAATTGAGACCTTTTGGTATGGCTATCCGGAGTTTGGTAATATAGTTAAGGAATGTTAGCACAATAGGTCTTTTGTGGCAGCTTCAAGGTGTTTTCAAAGTCGTATAATTGACTGGAAGCACAAAACTTTTGGAGACCTATTTAAAAAAAAATCACATCCATGCCAGACTCAACGGCATCCAAAAATCTCCCTCTTATGGTTTTAGTTCCTATCTCAATGATTTGGAAATTTCCCTAGAAAAGATTATAACAATCTTCTTAGATTAGAGGAGGACTATTGGAAGCTTCGATCTAGAATTAATTGGTTCAATGATGGTGATACTAAATCAAAAAAATTTCACACTTGTGCCACTAATAATAAAAGGAAAAACAAGATTGTTTATTTTAAGGACTTAGACGGAAATTGGATAGATGACCCTCCTAAAATCATGGACCATACCCTCTCCTATTTTGAGCAAGTCTTTACTACTAGTCATAACTCTTCAGCCTGGACTAGCATTAAGTTAGACACCACTTCATTCAAAGACTATAACTTAGAGTGCTTAGGTAAACCTTTTTCCTACTCTGAAATTAAAAATGCAATTTTTTCCTTCAAACCTTTTAAATCTCCGGGACCAGATGGTCTTCATCCTTTTTTCTTTCAAAAGTACTGGAATTCCCTAAGAACATCAGTAACTTCCCTATGTCAGATAGCTTTTGAAACTGGTAAACTCCCAATTGGCATTAATGATATCTACCTCTGTCTAATTCCTAAAATCCATAATGCCACCAATCTAAGAAATTTTAGGTCAATTGGCTTATGTAACACTATTTATGAAATAATTACAAAAACAATTGCCAGCAGACTAAAACCTTTCCTGAATAATATCATTAGTCCCTATCAAGCTAGTTTTTTAAAAGGCAGACATGCGAGTGATAACGCTATCATTATCTAGGAATTAATGCTCTGAATGCACAAAAAGATTGGTTCAAATGCTAATATGATCCTAAAAATAGATCTTGAAAAAGCTTTTGACCGTCTAGAATGGTTCTTCATCTACAGAACTCTTCGTCATTTCAAATTCCCTTCAAGAATCACTTCTATCATTATGAATTGTGTAACCACAAGCAGAATATCTATCCTAGTGAATGGTAGCAAAAGTTCTTTTTTCTCCCCTAGCAGGGGAATCAGATAAGGTGACCCTCTATCCCCATATATTTTTATCCTCTGTATGGAAATGCTATCAACTCAAATAAACCACAAAGTGGATATTGGAGCTTGGTCTCCCATTAGAATGGGTAACAATCAATGCAATATCTCTCATCTCTTCTATGCTGACGATCTTAACCTAATGTGTAAAATTGATAAAAATTCTCCTAACACAATTCTTGAGTGTCTAAATTCCTTCTGCACTTTATCCGGACAAAAAATAAATTTTTCCAAATCGAAAATTATTGTTTCCAAAAATTGTTCTATAGTCACTTCAAAGGCCTTATCCAGGCTCTTTAACATTAATATTAGCAAAACTTTTGGGAAATATCTAGGATTCCCCATTACTAACATCAAGCCTAAGTCCTCCGGTTACCAATTTATCATAGACAATATGACTTTGAAACTAGCATCTTAAAAATCAAATTTCCTAAACATTGCAGGCAGAACCACCCTAGCACAATCAGCCCCAAACAACATTCCAAATCATGCCATGCAATATAATCTCCTCCCCATTAAAATTACCACTGTTACTACTCTACATAGTGGTAAAACCAATCAAAACTGAATAACAACCTCATTTATATATAGATGAGTTAGGACACTAAAGATTACTCCCATCAAATATTAACACTAAGTCAATAGATATATATTATTCGTATGTTCGCACATAAAAAATTTCACCAATCCATGGTTAACTAATATATATATATATATATATATATATATATATATATATATATATATATATATATATATATATCAACTCATTAAAATAAATTAATATGATTTGGTGTATAATAAATCTTTATCAGTTGGACTAACTTTTTATCTCGGCGTACAATGTTCCATCATTTTTTGCATCAAAATAGCTAAAATCTATATATACTATATACTACATATACTATATTAAAAGCACGAAGGCCCTTAGCGAAATGTCGTTCGCCTTTTATACCCTTAAAATTATATTTCACACTAGGCAAAATAGTCATTTTATTATTTTTTAATATTTAAGAATAAGAATAGTCATTTAATATTTTCCAAATATTTAGGAATTCAAAATCAATTAGATTTTGTCCATTAAAGTCTTCCCTATTTGAACTATGTAATATAAAAAATCTATAGAATAAGGAAATAATAACAAAGGAAAATCACAGTATTTTGTAAAGTGCTTTAAAAAAATTGTTTGCAAACTTTGCACTCCTTTTGCATTGGGAGCTTTAGTTTTTTTAGCACTTTATTCAATTCTTTTTACGTCCAAAAAAAAATGCCTTTTGGTTTAGCGATCTTTTTAATTTGTTTTTTTTAACACAGGAAAAAATCGTAAAAAAAAAAAAAAAAAGTTTCGAGCACTTTCACTTCCTTCTGGTTTTTAGGATTTTTTTTGGTAAAATTTTTACCACTTTCATACATCATTTTAGGTTTTGGAGTATGTATTTATCCCCGAAATTCAACTTTGCCTCCAAAAAAATAAAGAATACCTTTTTAAATTCATTAAAAATATTTTTTTATAAAAATATGTTTTGGGTAACAACAAATAAAGTACAAGGACAAACAATGCTTATTGTTGGATTTGACAATTATATGTGCCGCAATACGTTTTCTCACATGGATAACTATATGTTGCACTTTCAAGAAAAATATTAATGTTAACGGCAAGAATTTTGTTCATGACAGAGTAGTCGAAGGTACAAAAAGGAATATGCATTAATAACATCGTCTACTAAGAGATAGTAGGTCAGATATAACAACATTACATATCATTGTCTCAAATAATAAAATATCTTAATTACAAATAGTATGATTAACTCACTTAAGATATTCGTTTTCGCAAATTCAGAAGTTATGCAATTACTTTTAATTTAACTATTGTATCAATGTAAAACATTTACTTTTTCGTTTAAATAAGTGTTGCATCTATCTCGACATCAATTATTTTTACACCTTATTCTTTTTTATTCTATATTTTGTATACTTTTTATTGATAAACACAAAATATGCGTGCAACATGTATACTAAAAACACGAAGTCCCTTAGTGAAATATTGTTCGCACTTTTACTTTAAAAATAAATTTCATATTGGATAAAATTGTAACTAAAATAAATTTTTTAATTTTTAGGACTTTGAAATCAATTAGATTTTTTTTTTCTCATTTGAGTTATGTAGGAAATCCTAATATTTAGAAATACAAAATTAAGAAAAGTTATACATATATAAATCATTTTCTTATTTAAATTATTAATTATAATTCAGTTATACTGACTTATATTTACTTGCTCTTTATAATAGGTTTCAACGTGTCGTGATTTTGTATCACTCATTACAAATTTGATGCTCAAATAAATATAATAAACTTTTATTTTACCATCCAAGCGAATAAAAATTTAAAAACATAATCCAGTTAAATCAAACAAGTTTTTTGTCGTAAATATTCATATTCGAAAGAATTACAAGAAAATACACATGACTTCACATCATAACATAAAATGGCCCATATTTTTAAGTTTTACCCAACCTAACCCATATTGTACATATTTTGGAAGCACTAGCAAATTCAAAACTTGTGTTCTTACAACCATTGCTTCTAAAAGCTATGGAGTTAAATATGTATTCTCACAACCATTGCTTTCACTATCTTCTACTCACATCTTCTACATATGCATCAAAGGGCAGTCCGACATTGCTACTTCTTACCCTGTGTCACCTGGTTACAATATAAGAAAATTGAAGAATAGAAGTCCACCATTGAAGGCCACTCAAATCTTTGCTTCGAAAATAGGATTTTTTGAGTTTGTTAGTTGTTTGGATTGAGTGTTGTTCCAATTGATTGAAAATATCAAAAGGAGTGCAAAATTTATATTTGAAGTGATTTGGAGTAGATTTGAGCAAGATCTGAGTTAAATTTTAGAAAAGACGCAAGGAAGAAGACGAAGTCACTTTTTTGTATAATTATGTATATAATAGTGTATATGAGTGTATAAACACATCTTATACACTATTATACACTTTTATACAAGCGTCTGTAGACGAACTTTTTTCACGATTTTCAGTTGCAATTCTTGTTCAAAACCAGTCCAAATCTCCATTAAATGACTTCAAATTTTATATACAACCTCCTTATACTATTTCTAACAAATCTAAATAACACCCACTCCAAATTTCTCACAAAATCAAATTCGAAATTTAAACACACATGTTTAAGCTTGTTAAAAATTTAATTTTCATCATCCAAATGGATTTGGTTTGTTGAACTAATATTTGAGTCACAGTAAAGTTACTGATTCGAAAATTAACTTAAAATCTTAAACAATCTTTTTTAAAAGTTAAATAGTAATTTTTAGAACCTATGAAAGTTGGATGTTAAATCTTAACCTATTATTTTTGGGTTAGTTGATTATAAATTGAAATATGGGCTATAAAATTAAAAAGTAAGGAGCTCAATTCTTGCTATGTGAAATTTTACCATCGTTTTTTCTATATAAATGAAGTGAGAATGGATCAAGTACACGTGAGTTGGAAAACACTGGCAGTTAAGACCTCATTCTTTTCAACTCCCGAGGCTCTTTTTTTCTCTCTCTACGTGAATAGTGAATAGTGAATAGTGAATAGTGAATAGTGGTGGTGGTCAGTGTACGCCAGTAGGTACAGTACGCACCCAACAACCTCCACCCCACTGTGACTCTCGAAAGAGATCTCGCCCAGACACACACCCTTTTACTCTGCTCTTCTTGTTCCCCGCTTTGATTTCTCTACATTTTATTTATTTATTTATTTATGTCTTTACAATTACATTAGCATTTTTTCTAAAATGGATCCAATGATGAATGAAGCTAGAGCATTTCAAGCTGCCGCCGCTAATCCGCCCTTTAATTTGGCCGAGATCTGGCCCTTTCCGATCAATGCTGGCGCCGCAATGCCCTATGCCAACCATATTCCGATCAATGATCCTATGCTTCTCGACCACACAACAAATCACCGAATCGGTTCAGCTAGGAAACGACGTGAGGATGACGAATCTGCTAAAGGAGTTTCAACTAGTGGCAATGGCTTGGTATTCTTATTGAAATTTATCTTTAAATTTTTTATTGCATTGCTCTGGTAACTGCACTAGTGTACGTTAATGCTGTTAATTCTGCCTTCCTTTACTTGATTAAACAATAATTACTTAGTATCGAAATGAAATGGTCCTGAATAGAGCGGAACAGACTAACTAATTTGGGTTGAAGATTAGTTGATTGATTGATAGATGGTTCTGAAATAGCTATCCGATAAGCTACACGGTCTATTTGAGCTTCTGTTATTTTATCTAGCTGATTGATCAAGGACGGATGTAGAGGGTGTGTTCCTGATCTGAATCCAATAGCTTTGGCTCAAACTTTGTATATGTATTCGGAAGAATCACTATATAGGTACTACTTATTGATTTAGAACCCAGTAAATGTAGAATCCCCGATTAGAATCCAAAAGTTCAAATTCTGGATCTGCCTGTGTGATTGATGTGCTATATGTAGAAAGCTGGTAAAGAATGACATGGGTATATCATTTATTGTTGATCCTTCCTGTTTCTTGGTGCAATGTTTTGTGAGTGGATCTTTTTTGCAATTGATTTATGTTGTATCTGATTCTTGTTTGTTTTGAGGTGATCACATTCTGGATAAAAATTCTGGGGTGATGATATAAAAGATGTCTGTCCTTATAATTTTTACATCTTTTAATATGTTTGAGCAGAGTGAATCTGATAGTAAGCGTTTGAAGGCCACAGGATCAAATGATAACCATGAATCCGGAGGTGATGGGGAAGGGAATTCAGGAAAATCTGCAGACCAACCTGCAAAGTCAGCTGAACCACCTAAAGATTACATTCATGTGCGAGCAAGGAGAGGTCAAGCTACCGATAGTCACAGCCTAGCGGAAAGAGTAATTCTTCCTCATTATTTTCATCATTTACACTTTCTTGCCCGACCATTAATTTTCCAAATGTGCTATGGGATTATGTGGAAAAGTCAAAATTTGGAAATAATGGTTCTGTATGAGCAATAATGGAATTTGCTGATTGGACCATTTTGGTTTGCAGGCCAGGAGAGAAAAGATCAGTGAAAGGATGAAAATCCTACAAGACTTGGTCCCTGGTTGTAACAAGGTATGCTACAGTTTCCTTTATCTTTCTACTGTTGAAATATCTGAAGCAACCTTCATTCTGATCAGCTGCTTTTCCATTTGTTTGTTTGTTAGTTATTAGATAAATCTGAAAGTACCAAAAAAAAAAAAAATCTAATGCATGACTGATATTGGACTTTACTACGGAATTTTTTTTTTTGGTTGAGATGATAGGGTTGAGTCTCACAGGCAAAACCTGCTCACCTTGTCATCCTTTTCAAACAAAGGCTCACAAAATTTCTTTCAGAAATTGCACTACAGTCAAATTGGATCAATGTTGGTCTCCTCAGTTGACATGTCAATGACATCAACTTCGACAAAATACAACAGTAGTAGTTAGCAAATTTCTTAAAGAGCTCCCATGAAAGCAAAGCCTTGGAACTTATCTTTCTTGTTTATCATTATGATCAGCTTTCAATTTGTTAAAAGTTCAGCTAAATGGATGCAAATGAGCCATCTGCTTGAACTACTTATTAAAGCAACAGCATGTAGGTTTCGTCATATTGTTCTATGCCAAAGGTCTTTACTTGCTCTCCTACTTGACCTCAGAACTGTACCAGTCTTCCTGCTATCAGGCGTTTGTTGGTGTTCAAAGAACTCTCTAACCAGGAACATGTAGTATAATGAACCTAATGTCTCTAAAGCTACCTGCATTCCAGCCATATGATTGGTGCAGGAATGGTGCTGGTTTTAACATCTAATTTCTTCAGGAACATAGAGCAGAATGAACCTGATGTCTCTAAAGCTGCCTGTATTCTAGCCCAGTCGCTGGTGCTAGGATGGTGGGACTTTAACCTCTAATTCTCGTCACATAAATTAACATCAAAACATGAATTCAATTTCAATGATATGTAACATTTGCTTTTGAAATGCGATGGGAAAAGTCAGTTTGTCGTTGTTTGGTTACAGGTAATTGGAAAAGCTCTCGTCCTTGATGAGATAATCAATTATGTCCAATCACTACAACGCCAGGTTGAGGTATGCTATCCACCTATCTTGTTGCACTGTTCTAGTTGAGACTTCTACACTAAACATTTTTTCGTGAATCCTCAGTTCCTATCAATGAAGCTTGAAGCAGTTAATACAAGAGTACCCCCAAATATCGAAGGATTTCCTACTAAAGATGTAAGTGTTATATCAGAAAGTCTTTCCAGTTGTATTTTATTCTTTGTTGTTCATGTCGATAACGAACTAGTAATTTGCTTTTCTGATGACCTTAAGCATGTTCTTTATGGAAACTACACATATAATCTTGTTTGTCGAACACTGTTAAGAGGTGGATTTAGGATTTGAAGGTGGCGGGTGCCATAATTTTCTTTAATGTATACCTTGTAATGACTAATACGGAATTTGTTAGGAACTTTTATTCGATTTTTTTGAGTTTATTCCTGTCAACCTAATAGGTATTTTTTATTTGTAAATATAAAAATTACATCTCAAACGTAATTAGTATTTTAAATAAGGAATCACACCTTTATTATAACAACACAAGTAAAACTAATATTTTTACTAGAAAATTACGTCCTTTTCTGTCTATTAAAAATAAATTTATACAATTAAGATAACATCTTCAATAAGGGAATTACATCAACCAGAATAAGAAAATTTAAAAAAATGTCTTCAATAAATAAATTACACCCCATAAGTATAAAGTTAAATTAACTACAAGTTCCCAAAAATCAATATCATAAATCTTTTTTTTTAAGCAATGCTTACGAAATTTTCAACATAATTTAATAGTTAAGAGATTTAAATCATATTAAATAACCATAGAATAACATAATTTTGTATGATATAATAAAAAAGATGATTTTTTTTTTCTCAATCCAAAACTCTTATTAAGACCCAAGTTTTTTCGGATTTGAAAGAAGAAAACTCATAAATTTAAGATTAAGAGGAATGCTTATTGTATATAATTTCAAAGTTTTGGAGTCTCCTTTTCGAGTGTTCTTGCTAGAGACCACATATAAAATAATAGAATAGAGAGAAGAAAAATATAAGAAATAATAAAACGACAAATAGAAAATTGGAGGGTAACCGAAAAGAAAAATCATTGGGACAAATGGAAATAAAAAGCACAAAGAAAAGGGAAAGTCGGACAAGGTTCAAGATAAATTCCAACTTCAATTTTACACACGAGAAAAGCTTTAAAAAAGATCTACCAGCCATGGCACCTTTGTCTAGTTTACGGCTGCGGGTGACAGGATCAGATATTTAACCTAATTTAAGAAAATTTAAACATAGTTACATAAATTTTTTATCATCTTAGCGGGTGCCATGCCACCCCTTCTTAAAGGGGTGGATCCGCCACTGTGTTAACTCCGCTAGAACCTCAGCTACCTTCTAACTTGCTGATATCTGTCTTTTTCATGGCATAACTCCCCATCAACCTTGGATGTAGTGCTAAGATTGTTTGGAGGAGGTTGGGGGCCTTGTGCCCACATCTAGCAAACCGTCACCTCTGACTTCTGAGACTTGCTTGGCATTAGCTCCTTGAAATTATAATTAGTGATGAAATAACAGCACGCAAAAATTCTGAGCTACTGTAGCGATTAACAGTTTGCAATTGTTCAGGTTTCTTTGAGTTACTCTTATTGCCATCTCGCTTTACAAAGTATAGCTTAGTTTGAAGATACAAGATTGCAATGCGTGTGTATAAGAGGGACCCACAGAGGCATCACTTAACAGCATGTTGAAATTTAGCTCCTGATATAAGTTAGAAAGTGTTAAGAAAAACCAAAGCAATATTGTAAAGAGAGAAAAGGAAGATATTCTAAGCTCAAAAAGGAAATACATTCTGTAATGTTAAAAATAAGATAGCACAAAGAATGGTACTTGGAGAAATATTTTCAATTCATAACGAGGTACTCTGGTTGTTTCCAGCTCGGGCAGCAAGCATTCGAGGCAAACGCCATGGCATTTGGTTCACAAGGTACGAGGGAATATGCTGGGGGAACATCACCAGATTGGTTGCATATGCAGATTGGCGGTGGATTTGAAAGAACATAAAGTAAATAATCGGCATCAAAGGCTAATAAATTCTTAGGAGGCTAATGCTTCCTCAGGGGACTGCTAAATGTATAATATTTTCTGATCAGGCACAGAGTTGTTGAAAATCTTTAGGACAGGAGAAACAAATCACCATATCTTCTTTTGTGCATTGTATGGAATCTATCGTATATGATGAATAGTACACTGGTGAAGATGCCTATTTGAAATGGTTATTAAGAAGCTGAAGTTTCTTCCTCCTGTTCTAAAAGCATTTATGTGTTCTGCTTTTTTTGTCTGCCAAAATGTAACGACCCGGAAAGTCGTTCTAAGAGTTATAGCCACATTTCCCCCATCTATGCTTATTTATATATTGTTCAGCTGTGTTGAGTTGTATCGAGTTGGTAGGTTTGGGTTCGAAGTAGTTTTGGAGTGAAATGATATCATATTGAACAAATGAGCTCCGATTTCTTTTTTGATTGAAGCATTAGATCCGTATCTTAATTACGGACCCGTAGCAAAAAGAATCATCGAATTTGGATATCGTATGAGAATTTTATGGTCATTTTACTAAAAATTAGGTTGCCAGATTTTTTCAGAGTAATTACGAAATTGCCACTAGCAGCGTATTTAAAAATCTGCACTATTTGCAAATATTAAAACTTACATATCTCATTCATTATAAGATCAAATTGAGTGATTCAAAAGCCTAACTTGACTAGAATTTCACAAGGAATCTATTGGAGGCATAAAATATGAGTTTAGGCATTTTTTGGCGCGAGAAACGAGGCAGAATAGCTGGTAGAAACTACATAAAACTAGGGTTTGCTCATTCGATCATATTTTGAGTTGGGGAGCTCGAATTTGGGAGATTTTGGAGGCGATATTCACCATATGGATTGGGATAAGTTTTCTCTACTCGGTTTTGATTATATTTCATGAATCTATCTTCGTTTTTTTTGGGATTTGATTGATGATTTCAAAGTGAAAATTGAGGGAGTTAGGGTTTGAGTTTTGGAGAGTTTTAAGTGAGGATTTGAGGGGCCAAACAGAGTCCGATTTTGATAAATTTTATATGGTTAGACTCGGGAGAGAACGAGGATTATTATTCTGCCATTTTTGACTGATTTTGAGACGTGGGCCCGGGGGCCGAGTTTTGGTCGATTTCGGATTTTTGGCATGTTTATGTAGTTTCTATTGTGTAATTCGATTCTTTAGACTATGTTGATAGTAGTATTCTGATTATGGTTAGATTCGAAGCTTTTGGAGACCGAGTCGAGGGACGAGGACATCCCGGAGTAGGATTTTACGCTGTTGAGGTAAGTAACAGCTTTAACTCTGGCTTTGAGGGTATAAACACGGAGAAATTAATATCATGTGATTGTTTGGTGGTGATACCCACGCTAGGTGACGGGCGTATGGGTGTGCACCGCGAGGGATAGAGACTTGGTCCGTCCCGTGAGGCCAGGCCTAAAAGCTATTATCTGTGGTTATGTGTTTACTTGTTGTTGAACTTGTTTGCCTTCATGTTAAAGACCCTGTTTAGGTTTTATTCATGCTCACATTATTTGTACTCAGTCATAGAAATTATTGTACATGTTTACCTCAGTCTCTATTATTTGATAATATATTGTGCTACTTGATGTGGGATGTGTCCCCTTATTTGTTGATGATGGTGAGGCTAATGAGGTACATGACTGAGTGAGGCTGAGGGCCTGGTTGTGAGGATATTAATATCATAGCGCGTGAGTTGTCCGCGTAGCACGTAAGTTGACCGTGCGGGTCCAGGTATTGATACCATAGCACGTGAGTTGACCATGCGGATCCAGGTATTGATATGGTAGCACGTGAGTTGTCCGTGCTTAGCGCTTGGGCTTTGGGAGCCCCTCCGGAGTCTGTACACACCCCCAGTGAGCGCAGAGTGTTGAGTGTATTGAGTGTTGAGTATTGAGTGTTGAGTGCGAGTGCTGAGTGATGGAGTGACATTGTTGTGAGGTTGCATTTACTTTTGCTGTTGCTGCATTTATCTGTTAAATTTCTTTGTGGCATTTACTGAGTTATGAAATTTACCTGTTTATTCTTGTTATTTTTAAAATTGTGAAAAATAAATAATTGGACTATTTTGCTCAGCTCGTCACTACAGCTAAGTTCCTTAGTTATTTCTGTTACTACTGAGGTGGTTGTACTCATACTACACCCTGCACTTTATGTGCAGATCCGGGTGAGTTAGAGTGCGGCGATCGTTGAGTTCATGCCGACTTTAATTGGAGACTGCAAGGTAGCTGCCAGCGTCCGCAGGACCTTATTACTCCCTTTATCATTTTTTCTTTGGACAGTTAGACTGTTTATATATCTCGGTTCATAGTTTTAGACGCTCATGACTTAGTTACACCCCGATGTTTGGGACTCGTTTTCATATTTTATATTATTTATATTTATAGTTGGTTTAGTTTATTGGGAATTAAATTATTGGAAATATTTTATTAAATTCTTATAATCAAATTAGTAGTAATATTTTGGGAATAGGCTTGCCTTGTAACACGTTAGGCGCCATCACGACCACGGTTAGATTTTGGGTCGTGGCAAGTTGGTATTAGAGCCTAGGTTACATAGGTCTCACGAGTCATGAGCGGGTTTAGTAGAGTCTTGCGGATCGGTACGGAGACGTCTGTACTTATCTTCGAGAGGCTGCAGAACTTTTAGAAAAATTTCACCTTCTTGAATTCTTATCGTGCGGTATTGATTCAGCTTGAAGTGTAACTCTTTGAATTTCTTCCACGCATTCGTATGCGCACATGAGCGCTCAGTATCAGTTGTGCATTGATGGATTATGATTCCCTGGATGAGGTGCGAGATGTGATTTCTGTGTGTTGATGTTGGGCCAATCTGGGGTACTTGAGGCCGGGTTTTTTCTGTAGCTGGTGTACGAAAATTTCGATTGTGTGAGCACGTGTTTATATGTCCGTTGGTGTCCCTATTAGTGGGATTTGTGATTTGAGGGCTATGTGGTGAGTATGATGTGACCGCGAGATGAGTTCATATGATTTGAATGTGACGAGAAGGTATTGATGAAGGTTTCACCTATTTGAGACTCCAGGTATGTTCTTAGACTCGTTCGAGGACGAACGTTTGTTTAAGAGGGGGAGGATGTAACGACCCGGTTAGTCGTTCTAAGATTTATGGCCACATTTCCCCCATCTATGCTTATTTATATGTTGTTCAGCTGTGTTGAGTTGTATCGAGTTGGTAGGTTTGGGTTCGAAGTAGTTTTGGAGTGAAATGATATCATATTGAACAAATGAGCTCCGATTTCTTTTTTGATTGAAGCATTAGATCCGTATCGTAATTACGGACCCGTAGCAAAAAGAATCATCGAATTTGGATATCGTATGAGGATTTTATGGTCATTTTACTAAAAATTAGGTTGCCAGATTTTTTCAGAGTAATTACGAAATTGCCACTAGCAGCGTATTTAAAAATCTGCACTATTTGCAAATATTAAAACCTACATATCTCATTCATTATAAGATCAAATTGAGTGATTCAAAAGCCTAACTTGACTAGAATTTCACAAGGAATCTATTGGAGGCATAAAATATGAGTTTAGGGATTTTTTGGCACGAGAAACGAGGCAGAATAGCTGGTAGAAACACATAAAACTAGGGTTTGCTCATTCGATCATATTTTGAGTTGGGGAGCTCGAATTTGGGAGATTTTGGAGGCGATATTCACCATATGGATTGGGATAAGTTTTCTCTACTCGGTTTTGATTATATTTCATGAATCTATCTTCGTTTTTTTTGGGATTTGATTGATGATTTCAAAGTGAAAATTGAGGGAGTTAGGGTTTGAGTTTTGGAGAGTTTTAAGTGAGGATTTGAGGGGCCAAACAGAGTCCGATTTTGATAAATTTTATATGGTTAGACTCGGGAGAGAACGAGGATTATTATTCTGCCATTTTTGACTGATTTTGAGATGTGGGCCCGGGGGGCGAGTTTTGGCCGATTTCGGATTTTTGGCATGTTTATGTAGTTTCTATTGTGTAATTCGATTCTTTAGACTATGTTGATAGTAGTATTCTGATTATGGTTAGATTCGAAGCTTTTGGAGACCGAGTCGAGGGACGAGGACATCCCGGAGTAGGATTTTACGCTGTTGAGGTAAGTAACAGTTTTAACTCTGGTTTTGAGGGTATAAACCCGGAGAAATTAATATCATGTGATTGTTTGGTGGTGATACCCACGCTAGGTGACGGGCGTATGGGTGTGCACCGCGAGGGATAGAGACTTGGTCCGTCCCGTGAGGCCAGGCCTAAAAGCTATTATCTGTGGTTATGTGTTTACTTGTTGTTGAACTTGTTTGCCTTCATGTTAAAGACCCTGTTTAGGTTTTATTCATGCTCACATTATTTGTACTCAGTCATAGAAATTATTGTACATGTTTACCTCAGTCTCTATTATTTGATAATATGTTGTGCTACTTGATGTGGGATGTGTCCCCTTATTTGTTGATGATGGTGAGGCTAATGAGGTACATGAC